ATTTGGTTGGATGATTGAAATGCCGCGATGGTTCCCGGTTGAATTCTTAGCTGGCTTTAGAGTTCCCTTTTAAGGTCTTGACGTTTCTTTAAATTGTCTTCCCAAGGCACGCTAAGAGGAGACTTGCAGGGCTTCAGAGTAATCAGCGTTGTTTCCACCATTTGGCCCCTGTTGATGCATGACATTGCGAATGGTCAGTCCGAATTTGAGGAAGTTGGAGAGTAGGCAGTCCACACTTTGCAGCATGTTCTTTTCCACCGCGATGCCCAGTGCTCAGTGCTCCGCAAACAGTAAATTATGGACAGTGATTTGGGACACCCTCGAATATGTAAAACCGTTTTCCGTCAGTTCTATTTCCTCCTTGGAAGTCGTACTGCTTTTCTGGAGGAAACGCCTGCCTCAGTTGCGTGTTCAGGCGATTGAGTAGCGCACGGTAACAGATTTTACCCACGATATTGGGCGGAAGAATGCACCTCTTGTTATCACCAGGTTGTCGGTGTCCCCTTACATTCTTAATTATGCACAATGGTTGCGTCCTTGAAGTCTTAGGAGATGTGTCACCATTTATAGAATAAGGAGGTATATTTCTTCATCAGTTGTGGACCGCCGTACCGGCAAGTTTTGGTAGAAATTGCGTTTGCTTTAAGTGCTCTCCAACTGTTGCACAGCTCTGGTTGCCTCAAATATGGTGGTCGCCGTTGGTGTCCACTTAATGAAGTCGGTTGATAGTTTCATCGCAGATTGTGGACGGTTGATTGCGGACGTTCTCGAAGTGTCCAACGCAGCGCTCCGGGGCCGTGACCTCAGCGTCAGGAGGGTCGCTCCATCGCGCCTGAGCACTGGAACAGTCTCATTGGCCTGAAGACCCTAGATAATTTTTATGGTTGCGAATCAATTCGTCATCCTACCATGGTCGGTATACCCATGATTCTCCTCTGTTATCCGAGTCAGCTAGTCCTTCAGTATCTCCCTCAGCCTCTGCTATACAAGGAATCGGGAGTGTTTGGGTTTATTGTCGGTCGTGTGCAACCTATTCGGGCGAAGTGTGAGGTGCAGATTTCCTCGTCATAGTTATCCAAACAGTGCTGGTTCTTTTGCCGTGCGTAACCGAGGGCGTCCATGATGGTGGTCTGGAGGATTTCCATCTGCCCTCCCAAATAGGTCCCGATATTGATATGCGTCTGTATTTCCTCCGATTTAAAGTAAGTGCGAATGCTAGAATTTTGTCGGCGTTGAGCTGTATCTAGCAATCCAGAATTTATGCTGTGCCTCTGACCTTGACTTAAGCTTCGATACCCTGCAGAGATTACATTTGAAGGCTCGTCTTGGTTCGCAT